AACTTTGGTCTGATTAATTTAAAAGTAGTTCCCAAGTCCAAGTGACACCCCTGGCCTAGAGGTTAAGCCTGAATGAAAGACCTTCATTGAAAACTACTATAAACTATGGTAAAATAACACAGTTAAATGGTTTATTTCATAAGACTAAACTATATTCTATACAGTATAGAGTATAATGTCGTCATTCCAAATGCCCCTTATTTTATAAAAGTACACTTTTCTCACATAAAACACTAAAAAAACATTTCCAATTATTGATTTTGACTTAAAAACAAAATACTATAAGGATAATGCAAAAATATAATTGGCTCTACAATAAAAACTAAACCAAAAAAGTAAGGGATTTACTTGTGATGCCACATTTTGCAGCAGAAGAAAAACGTCCAGTCTTTTCGGTCCCTGGTAGATTTTGCCAAGCTGCCTCAAATGTAGGGTCAGACTGCTGATCCAGATGGAGGTGCACAGAAGGGGAGCCATGAGAAGGAGAGGATGACTGGTCGCTACCATTTGAAGAGTCACTGTGGCAGGACTCTGGGCTTGAGGCTGAGCTGGATGAGCAGATGTAGGTTATCACGCTGCCTAAGGTGGAGATGAACAACAGGGGACGTTAGAAAATTAAAAATGGACCATAACGCTAAAATAGAGGATCGTCTACATGTACTTAACATTTTGGCAAACAATATTTAATAAATTCCAGTCAGTCACTGGATCAAAGAATATGCAACAGAAAACATACACAGTAAATGGTGGCTGTTGTACTATAGAAGAATACTGTCTTTTATTGATGGTTATGATGGTGATATTTTGCCTTTTCTGTAAGAGTTGGTCATTAGACACTTTGTGTTTGAAGTTTAGTTGTTTAGAGAAATCTGTCCTGCAGAGGTAGAGAATATAGTTTACTTTTTTGTTTATTACAGTAAAAGCTGCTGCTTCGCTATGTCTGCTATCTTCTGCTGCTGTCTTTACTTGAGCTGACTTTTTAAACCAAAATGCAAATTTCAGCCTTTGGAAAGTGGCCACAAACTAGAAAAGTCGTAGGTTATAGGTAGAACGCAAAATGAATTTAACCAATACATAGATAATTTAGAAATGGTGTGTGTCTAGTCTCAGCTGTGACTTATGCTGAAGATGGACCTCACAGTTTCAAATTACGTAAGTATTTTCCGGAGTATAAGTTGCCCCAGCCAGCTAGAGTGCCCTCTAGCAGCTGTCAGTGTTAAAATAAACATGTACATTTTTAATGGTACAGGAGTAGCAGATACTGGTACACAAGCCTAGAGTGCCCTTTTGCAGCTGTCAGTGTGAAAATAACAAACATGTAAAATTATATAGTTTAATATATGTCACAAACCCAGCCAAAGGATGGAAAAGAAATGCAACTTATAGTCCAAAAAATACAGTTGAATTAAAACTATGCTCCTAAGAATTGTTTGTTTGTACAGTCAATATTATTTTGAGTTTATATAAACAACACAAAGCATAGCAGAAAAAGTGTATTCATATTATAGAAAAGCAAATTAGATTTGGTATAAACTTAAACCTAAGAGGAGGGCCCAGTCAGCAGCCTTTGGCCTGTTGTTTAGGAGATTAGTCTTTTTACTTGACTGTGGTATGTAAATGCAAGCAACACAGAAACCAATGGATGGATCAACAACCGTGCATCTAAATGGAAGGATTACTTTTGGTGCTGTGAACATGTTGAAAGTTAGGACAAAGATGACTATGTCTGAACATAAAGCAAACTTCTTTCATCTACTCTTTGTAAACTACATGTCTAAAAAATGTTCATATTAAATGTCAAAACATATGCTTTTTTTATGAATTATTAGGATTTTTAAAATGCATTGTGTTTCATCTGTGACCACTAGTGCCATCACCACCTTGTCTAGTTGTATTTCAATTCTTCAAATCCCCAAACAGGTTCTTTTTAAACCAGTGATCTTAACATCAAAAGAAAGGCTCACAATTGGGACAAAACAGGCAGGCTAAGCCTATATGTCTTTTGCCAATCAGCAATTAGGTAACAGCCATTACATAATGTAAGCTCCATCAGGGTGTGCTGAGTAGGTAGCATGGTCTGACAAAGACAGACACAGTGTATTTATATCAGGTACAATTAATATGTTACATACATACACTTATGTATGTATATATATGACTATATATGCGATAGTTATGTATACATATATAAAATACATAAAACAATCACAAGTGAACTAGTTACGTCCAGCAGAATACGGGTTATTCACTGGAATTTCTCATGCAAAATCGTTTTAAAAATATCACAATTTTATGTTGGTTTTTTTTTTGTTTGTTTGGGGGTTTTTTTGCTTATTTTTTTGCGTCTGCTAAATGCACAAATGTAAATGAAAATGTTACTTAAAATACGCCCCCATGTGGAGTATGACCGTTTTTCCCCCCGCGAAAAGTAGGTCAAAACGAACTGCCGCGAAAGCCTCACGTGTATCCGCCTCGAGACCCCATGCAAAATCGCAAAGGGAAATTATGCAATACCAACGTCAATTCAGCGCCGAGCCAATGAGCTGTGACGCATGAGGAGCGTAAACACCGGCGCACATGGCTACGGCTGATGGATACATGTGAGAAGAGACAACTGCACAGTTCCTAAAACATACAAGTGACAACATCATCAGCCAAATGAACGAGAGAAAAAAAACTCACCTTCTTTCGGCTCATCGTTACACAACAACTAATGTAAAACTATAAAGTTTTAAGTGATGTCTCTACTTAAACAAAAACAACCTATAACCAGCCAATGTGGCTAACCACGCTATATTGGCTACACCTAATTTGACAAACCCACGAGACAAGCTGCAGACTCTGTCATTTACATGTTCTTAAATGAAAAAAGCGACATTTTCACTCACCCACTTCGGTCGATTCCATGTCACAATAATATGGAGATATGTATTCCTTCCGCTGCAACTTCAAAGCAGAATCGGCTGACCGTCTGAAATTTTCCTCAACTGAGGAGTAGGGTCTGTTCGGGAAGTGTGTAACCTACTGCATCTAAGCCAAAAGTTTCTGGACAAAATAGCCCAGGTCCTCGAAAATTCGATTTGTCCAGTCGGCGCTGTAATACAACGAAAACGGGCAGTGTTATCAGAAAAGTTTAAAAATACTTTTTAAACAGCTTTGGTTAGATCTTTTTTCAGTTCTCCAACCGCACTGATACGTTAAGCATGTTTAAATTAGGCATGTAATTCTGAGGTTGAAGCTGTGCTCCACAGAAAACCAATTTTGTGCAGTGGCTTGAGTGGAGCTGAGCTGTGTGTGTCCATGTGACCCAGTTCGTCTGCGGCTCCTCCTTCCCCCACAGCCATGCACTTGTGTCAACGTAACCCACTGACATACTTTTTAAAAATACTTTCGAGACCGTTTGCTAAGTGCAAATGTTCTACAAAATGATTTTGTGATTTTGACACTTGATTTGTGATTGACACTTTTACAGGGTTCGTTTTACCATTAAAGGTCCAGTATGTAACGTTTGGGTGCGTACAAAGCCATTTATATAGTATATACACTAAAAATGTGGTTTATTTGCTTCATTTTGTTTACCATATTTAACAATAAACTTGCTTAAGTTAATAGTTCTTCCTCTAATGTATTGATTTATCCAGTACTAATCTGTGATTAATCAGATTAAAAATGTTACATTTGACAGTTCTAGCTGTCCTTGTTCCTTGTCCTTGTTGCCAAAGTGGTTACATCTGTGACCAATTTTCAAAATTGGTTCATCAGGTAAGAGTTAAATAATTTGGTGTTCTGTTTTCATCATTTTTAAAAGTGTTAAAAAGTTTAAATTTCAAAAGTTGACAAATCATAATCTACTTAAGCACCTTTCAAAAAAACAATTTTAGCACTCCCATTCATATCATTGTTGCTGCAGTGCAAACACATTTTGTTCCCAATATTGTCCCTCAAGTCTGGGGTGAAATTGCCTCCTCATTATATGGGGTTAAGCTGCCATATATGGCCCACACAATATGCCTTGTTAAACAATATTATGATTCTAGGAGAGACCTGTGAAAGCTCCACGCTGACATATTGGCTGGAATATTGGTAGAAATCAAAACAATATATATACTTGTTCAATAGTGCTGTTCTGGAAGGCTGGAAGGTTTCTGTGCCTTTACCTCCATATCAGGGGTGTCAAATTAATTTTCACCGTGGGGCCACATCATGTCACTTTATGCTGCCAGACCATGAATGCACCATGTATGTTATGTTATGTTGAATTGATTTTGTGATATCCTGTGTTGTGGTTCTTTCTGTACACTGGTTTAAATGCATTTTGTGTAATGTAGTCTGTGTAACTTAGGCTTCATTTCTACTGCTCAGAACATGGTTCCCAGGGAAACAGAAAACAGTAAAAAAAAAACACACATACTTATTTACAAAGCCTTATGATGTTTATATGAGCTTTTTCGATGAGATTCCAATGTTTATGTGGATATTACACTTGCCGATGTTTAAATAACAGGTGGGAATTCACACTCACGTAAACAAAATGTTTTCTCTTTTTTTAGAACCTTGAGTTTCATTGGTAATAACTGAGCGTAAAACATGTATGCACATAAATATTCCTTGACAGAAGGCCTTATAATCTGTACCCAATTTCGGTATTGTCACGCTACATGCTTAAACATTCAGATATAACTTAGCCGGAGTCCATCTTTGTAAGAAAAAGAAAAATGTCCACTTCCATTTGCAGTTTTGCTCTCATGTATTCTATTATGTACACTTGTTTCAATTTTTTGGTCAATTGAATCCTTGTCGGTGAAGATACATTCCTCCAATCTAAAGTTTGTAAGTGGTTTTTCTTGCAATCAACAGGAGGATGTGCAATGTATGCTGTATCTCTTGTTTTTCCCTGATATACAGTATTCTCCAGGGGTACTCCTGGTACAAAAATCCTAGGGTCCAACCAAATGACAATTTTCCAAAAAAGACAAATTTTGCCTTTAATGTCATACTAAATTCCTTGCAATACTGGACAGTCCCAAAAGACATGTGAGTGATCACCTGTCAACCCCCAATTTGGGACAAAGTGGGGACACTGAATCTTTATAAAAAATTAAGATTACCAAAGAAGTCTGAAAGGATCAAATTTTTGTCACCCAACCGAATCATTTCAGAGGTTACTGCTGATATCTTTACGGCTATTCACACATATGTCGTTCATTAATAAATGTACATTAATAACCACGTTTTCAGGTTTAATTTGTTAATAGGTAAATTACCAAATTTACCTATTAACAATTGTTGTCCATTCTTGTCACTCCTAAAGAGAATCTTAGCATCTTTAACTTACTTCCAGCTCTGACTCCTGTCTTCTGCCTATTGCTACTGTCTCTAAACTATACATCATGGCTGGTCTCACCACCGTCCTGTAAACCTTTCCCTTCACCTTAGCTGACACTCGTCTGTCATAGATCACTCCGGACACTTTTCTCCAGGTGTTCCATCCTGTCTGCACTCTATTCTTCACCTCTCTTCCACAGTCTCCTCTGCTCTGAACAGTTGATCCTAAGTACCTAAACTCCTCAAAGCCATTCTCTTTGAAAAATCTACCACTGTCTGTATCTTCCAAATTTCTATCCCTTACCAAAACTGCCCATCACCTCCTCATCTCCTCTGTTCCCTTCCCTTACATGACCATTAAAGTCTGCTCCAATCACCACTTTCTCTCCCCTAGGGATAATCTCTTTCATCCAATCCAGCTCATTCCAGAACTTCTCCTTTTCTTCTAACTCACAGCCCACCTGTGGGGCATAACCGCTAACAACATTAATCATCACTCCTTCTATTTCTACCTTTATTTATTTTTCCTTTAGGATCACCCCTACCTCATTTCTCTTCCTATCCGAACCATGATAAAACAGTATGTAGCCTCCTCCAGTGTTTCTAGCCTTGCTGCCCTTCTACCTGGTCTCCTGCACACACAAAATGTCTACTCTTCTTCTCTCCATCATATCAGCTAGTTCTCTACTTTTCCCTGTAATTGTACCTACATTCAGAGTTCCAAACTTCAGATACAACACCTCTATTCTTCCTCTTTTCTCTTTTTGTCCAAATCAATTGTCCTCCTCTTCTTCTTTGTCTTTGACCAACAGTAGTTCAATTTCCACCAGTACTTTGTTAACCCGGGCCTCGACCGATTCGGTGTGGAAATCGTTTTAGTGATTCGCATATTTGATTTGGCTAAAAGTTTTATGCCGGATGCCCTTCCTGATGCAATCCTCACCATTTATCCGGGCTTCGGACTGACACTATAGTATCATCTGGAATGAACAATCTGTCCCATTCTCTATGGTATACCATCAAAGGACTGTGCAGTTTACAACGAAATCCACATACCCCTTTAGTAATAAGTCAATTTTCAGTCGAAATTTCACGGCTTGAGTCAACCGAGACTTTCTTTGGTTATTTACAGCCCTACTGCCTACAGATAGCAGCAAATACAAATCTCATGTAAAACACTTGTATGTCAGTGGGATGTATGTTTAACACCTCTAAGACATGTCAGTGGATCCACAGCTACTCAGGTCAATGAGGGAAAAGACGGATTGGTTTAATTTATTTCCCCAAAGTGGTCCTTTTCACTGCTAATGTTTCCTCAATATAATAAAACTTTTGAGAGAGTTGAAACCCTATACTTCCCCTGTCTCTACTCTGCATTTTTAGAGGGCAGCTCAGGAACCTCTGCTGCCCTGCATACTAAGGTGTGTTCACATAATAGACAGGACGTGAGCATATAGAATTGTCTTTTCCCCAACCTTCCGAATACTCAGCTGATTGATCCTACTGCAACGCTGCTTTGATTAGTGACTGCACAATATTTATTTAGCAGTATTTACTATAATAAAAATATCCAAATATTTGTAAGAAATTATTTTAGTTTTTACCACCAATGTCCTTACTGACACATACATTGTTATTGAGGTTAGAAGTTAGGGTTTTAAATCTTTAGTGGTTCCATAGTGTAGTAGTTAGCATCCCTGCCTTACATCTGCCCTACTCGCAGTGGGTCCTGGGTTTGAACCCCAAAACCATATATCCTGAATATATCCGCTGTGTATTTCCCCATTGTAGAACAAATAAGGAACTCTGCATCTTCCCTAGGGATCCCACTACCGCAGTAAGATAAGCCTAACAAGTAGAATATTAGCTTACTGTGATATAAGTAAGTTTCGAGTTATCATAATATATAATCAATTGAACTGTGAACTTCTGAAATTGTTTTTGTGTACAGTTTACAAGAGGTTAAAACAGCCAAGACAGCATTTATCTGGATGCATGCATTGAAGAATAGCCATTAGGGAAGAAAAAAAGTACATATAAACTACATTAGGAGTAATTGGTAGTTTGGGTGGCAAAAGAAGCTGGAGTAAAGCCAAACACCCATTAGGGGAGAGCAGAGTACACTAACTATGTAACTCCAAATTGCCGTTAAACAAATAAGTTGTTAAGTGACATTTTATGCAGCCCATCAGCCCATCATGCACTAAGAGGGTCTTGAACCATTTAATAAACGGCACCATTTAATACAGTATATAGGACAATAATGTATTTTTTTCCTATGCATATGTCATTGTTCGTTATGCAGAATTGGTTTGTGTCTGAACATGAGGGATCCATTAATTCTTTGTTGTTCAATTATCATAACACAAATATTTCTATTTTTTTCTATTTTATATTACTCCCTTAGAAGAGTCTAAGTTAAAGTTAGAAGTTAAATTCATTATATATTATGTATTATATTATATGCCATGGTCATTACAGTGTAAGCCAATGGCAAATAAACTGTGTGGACGTATGTAGTTAGGAAGCAATACTGCTTGTGAATCAGTTTTACCTTCTGTTGTGCAAAACTGCAGCAGGTCTTCTGTTTGCTTCTTAGTGCAAGTAGAAACAGGAAGAGCACAACCAGAGTCCTCCAAAATGCCTCCAGTAGGTCCCTCATGTGCGTGTTTCTGCCCAAATTGTCAGTAACAGGTTTAATGATTGTGGCATGGTGGCCTTACATCCACGAGTGGGGTGCCAGTGTAGTGGTAGGTCATTTATTAATTCATTAATTAAAGTTGTAATCATAAGAAGGTAAGACCATAGCATTTGTATCAAAATACCACACTAAACTTTGTTCAAAAGTTTGAGGCAATGTTTAATTAAATACATTTAATTGGGCATATATTTACAGATGCAAAGTTCAGATACGGCCAGAAGGAGCTGTAGTGTCTGTGGATCTACAGAAATCATTATGATAGAATGCCTTGGGAGGAACTGTTGAACTGTATGGGACAGTCAGGAGCGGCATAGATGCGAGGATCATACGACAGAAATAGCAGAGTAGCAAGAAGTTGAAAGGGAAGATTTTGGTGGTGACCAGGGTGCAGGGGGGCTCTTGGCAAGTAGGACCATGGAGGCCCTCCAATTATAAGGGCCCCTTCCAGCCTGGTGCCCTAGGCAACTGCCTGGTTACCTGCCCCATTGCAACGTACCTGCCAAGAGGGACAGGATTAGAAATGAGCAGATCCTTTCATCTGGGACAATAAAGTAAAGGTATGGCAGTTTGGAGAAAGGGGAGGTGAGGTTGAGATGGTTTGGAAATGAGGATAAATAGTAAATTATCAAAGGATGCTGGAAATGCAGTTGCCAGGTAAAGTTAGACTCTAGAGATTTGTGGATGATAGGGTGTGATAGAGACAGATGATCCACCTCAGAAACCCCTGAAGAAAACAGCTGATTGGTTATATGATGAGGATTGGTTATATTTGGATAGAACTTTAATCCCTCAGGAGTTCCCTTCAGGAAATTGAGGAAACCCTATGTACAGTCAATCACATATAGGAGTCACCAGGCTGAAGATGTTAAAGGATTGATCCCTTATAACATAACTGTAATGCACTGAAGCAGCACAACACATCTAGATGCGTTAGGTCACATTAAACAGCATCATTCTGTTTAAAAAGCAGAGTAAAAACCATTTGACATAACCCACCAAATCAGTCAGTTTAACATCTTCCCTCTTGAAACTAAGTTTTAATTGTAATATTAGAAGCATTCATATGCATTTTGTGTTGCAAACTTGCTTTACATCTTAATAATTAAAAATTCACTTTAATATTATTGAAGGAGACAAGACCAAAAATAATAAAAGTCAAGACAGGACTTCAGGCAATAAAAAGGGATGTTTATTGTTCCAATGTACAGACATACTCTAGCGGTAGCGATGCAGCTGCAGAGTGTTGCGCCTCTTCCAGGCAGCACGGCGGGAGCCTCCGATGGTTCCGTGGAACTTGTGGCCCTTGCCCAGGCCACGGCTCTTCTTCCCTGCAGATGTCAGGCCACGCATCTCTCTGTGCTTGTGCACAGCTTTTGTGATCCATTGTGTGTCAGGGTTGCGTCTAATGGCCTTGTGGAAGGGATCAATCAGAACCACCTCGAAAAACTTGTAGGTGGAGTCTTCACCCACCCAGTAGGAGCTGAGCACTCGCAGGGCTCCACAATGACGGCCAGCACGTTCCTGCAAAATCCAGAACAGTGTGTCATAGAGAGATACTTTTTAGTTAGTCCCTTGGCTGTTCTCTTCAGGAAATTTAACCTATAATACATTTATCACAATAACCAAGGCAAATGTCCAAACAAGTATTTTGTGGTCCTACTGCATGACATATGCAGATGAAAGAGAATTACTGAAGTTCTAAATGCCAAAAATACACATAGGTTGGCATTTGACTGCACCATAATTTATCAGGCTGTAGGACAACTACACACGTACCACATACATTGCCATAATGCAATGAAAGGGTTGTCCAAGTAAAAATGATTTTGTGCCCACTAGAGCACTATTTTCAACTTCAACACTGAATTGAGGCACTATTACTTTTTTCTTTTACCAACAGCTTATCAGTCTTTGTCACTGTTTTTATTAGGATTTAAATACATGTTAAGAGTGCCATTTAAAAAATATCTTGTTGTAAGAAAGTTGTAAATCAAGGCCTTTCTTTTGACTTACATTTTGATAAAGATGTATTCAAGGAATCAGAGGCTGGTGAAATTATAACACTCCACTTTCTTTAGTGGCATCTATTACTCCACAAGTGTTTGTTAATGTTTACATCAGAATAGAAAGTAATACCACACAAGTCATCTAATCACAATGTCACACTAACAAACAACAAAAAAGGAACAGTGGAGCTACGGCCCAGACTTCACACAATGGCTGATGCAGATATTTAGAGCCTGTACCTGGGCTTTATAGTCAGCTGTAACAAAAAAAACGATTGTCTGGAAAAAACAAAACTTACATGTGAACAGGACTGATATGAACTGAAAGTCTATATTCTGCTTAAGCAAAACAAAAATTAACAATGTACAGGGTTGTTGGTTTTCTACAATGGTGAAAAGGGATTTCAAAAAACAAGTAGACTTTTAGAAAAAAATCTGATACCTAGAAAAAAGTGACTTGCTCTGCATATTGTTTACTTAGCAAGTGGCCCTATCCATTAGGCAGAGATAGATGATACAAAATAGTAAGTAGAGTTATAGAATAGGGGAACAAATTGTGGGCAGGTACATTTTGTCATTTTAGCAATGTGAGTTTAGGATTTCCACTAGTCATAGAAAAACTGATAATCATATGTTGCACACCAACATGGCAGGGATACATACTTGAACAGCTATAAAAGTCTAATAGCATTTTTTTCTCCAACAGTGTAAAATTTGAATGTGTACCTCTGCAACAGACTGCAAACTGCGGGCAAACTTAAGTTGGTTGACACCATGGTGCACAGGCTTGCCATAGGTAGCACCTTTAGGCACTGGTCTCTTACGGCCTCCACGGCGCACACGGATTCGGTAGATCACATAACCTGTTTGAACCAAAACAAGACACTGAAAGTAGGTCTAGAAGTGACACGTACAATGACAGACTTTAAACATAAGTTCACCATCTATCTTTTTCTTTCGGCTTTGTCTCTTTTTTAAACATAAGTCCATGTAAATCCAAAAAACAAACAATACTCACCCTGCTTGGCCTTGTAACCCAGCCTACGAGCCTTGTCTGGCCTGGTGGGCCTAGGTGCACGATGGAGGTTGGACAACTGACGATACTGCCAACAACGTACACGGAGCAAGAAACGCATCACATCTGACTGCTTCTTGCGCCATAACTCCTGCATATACCTATACGCACCCATGTTGGCTTAGTCTGTAAGAAGAAAGCAGTATAATGACTTTAATAACACTCTTCTAAGGGAGTAGTATAATGTAAAAATAGAAATCTGTGTTCTGATAATTGACAACAAAAAATTAATGGATCCCTCATGTTCAGACAAACCAATTCAGCATAACTAACAATGACATACGCATAGGAACAAAATACATTATTGTACTACATATTAAATGGTGCCGTTTACGAAATGGTTCAAGACCCTCTTAGTGCATGCCACTGCTACTATCAGGCCAGCCTGATTTAACACATATCACTCAGTGAAATATTAGTTGAATCGTAGTTCGCAAATTCAGTAATGGTAGTAACCTAGCATGCTAATGCTAACCGCCGAATAACGTGATATGGCTATAACTTAATTATTTTAACAGAAATATTTAAACTTGTCGCGATAAAGTACAAACTAACATTTTCAAACTAACAAATATTTTCATTTTTTCGAAAAACGGCAACTAGCAACCGGACAAACCGCATCTCAGCGGCACTAAAACTAAAAGGTTAATTTCAGTTATAAATGACATTTTCCATAAAATATATCAAATATTGTGCTAGTTAATGTGTCTACTACACCCGGCAATATTCACACAAGCAGATGAATTAAACAAGTAAACGATTTATTTGGATTTAGATCTATACTAAGACAAAAATCCACGCTTACATGATAGCGTACCAGCCGGAAAAGGAAGAGCTTCTGTACCCAGCAATCCTTAAGGAACCAAACTGTGACGTATTTCCTGTTATGTTCATGGGAAATGTAGTGACACTGGTTGGCTCTAGCAACTACACTCTAGTTACTAGAGTCTAGTCTCTTTTTCTGCAGTAAAAGTAAAAACTATGGAAGGTACACAATAAATGACGCAATAGGACTATACATTTAACCAAATAGCCACGCTAATTATTAATTGCAACGTTTGGACTTGCTTTATTCAAGGACTACAGTTTTGTAATATCAAAAGTTAAACAACATACTACTATCATAACACTTACTTGTATTAAGTGAAGAGGAAGGTGATAAAGTGAGATGAAGGCAGATGATCCGCTGCTGGGAGCACCCGAAAGAAGACGAAGAAAAATATTACAACACTCTCTATTATAGAAACGGGGGAAATTGAAAAAACAAAAAAACAAAAAAAGAAAAATCACCGTAGCATTGGCGCCACATAGTGCCGGAACTTGTGAGTAACATTTGTCGTCGCTTCTTTAGGCTAAAAAATATTATGCGTTACTCTGTACTATGAACTGTGTCACGCATGCGCAGTGACATACAACCCCTTTCAAACTGCTTACAGAGGGAATGGTTTACCTGTCTTGATAAGAGCACACAATTTAAAGAATTTTAAACTTTTGTTGACGTAAATAATTAACGGCAATTCGAATGTTGAAGGATACAGAAGCGGAGTAAGCTCACAACCAACAACAACAACAACGGTGTGTTCAAACGTGACACACAATGACGTAACCTCGGCTAAACAATGCTGCTACATGCAGATATAGACAAATACAGAAGCTGCTGTCGGTTATTTCAGCTGGAGACTAATTAGTGACGTTGACTTATATAGCAAACGCTGTCACTTATGTGTGTGCATGTATTAACTGCAGACTCGAGATGGGAAAAGGCTGTAAAGTGGTGGTGTGTGGACAGGCAGCAGTTGGTAAAACAGCCATTTTGGAACAGCTCCTATATGGAAATCACAGTGTAGGTAAGGAATGAAAACAGTGCACTGACTCTTGGCCTGCAGCGTTTCTACGAAAGTATCAATTTTGTATTAAGCTGGTAAAACTTCGACATCATACCTAATCTTTTCTAAAATTGCCAAATTGCCAAATCCCAATTAAAATGTATTAAACGGGTGTTTAAAACAAAACAGGTTTAAGGGTTACAGACGTTTTTTTATTTACTACCTTACGCATTTTGTGACTCGGAAGGTAGTTTTAAGAATTATATTACGTTAAGTTCTCAAACCAAGACAACTTTTCTCCTGAATTAACTGTTGAATATTGCACAGGTAAGCGTGGTCATATCCGAAAGGAATACGTTGTAACAGGTTTGAATTAAAACAAAGCAATATGAATAACGTAATATATATAATAAATAATGGAATCCTGAAAATAAATGCAACATTTAGATAAAAAATTGACTGAAGTAGCTTGTGAAATAATACATTAATAAAATATAAATATAATATATATATAATTTGTAATATAAAATTTGTGCTATATATGCTGTTGGAATAGCGGTTTTTCTTTTAAAATGATTTGTTATTCTGATTTGCATTGAATGTGTCGTAAAGTAACGGTGATATCAGGATTTCCTAAAGTACGTTTTGCGAGCGTTGAACCTAAAATAGTGTCAAATAAAAGTGATGTTTAAATGATGCCCCTTCCGGTGTGTGGCACGTTGCCCGAATTGTGTTGACAATGTCGGTGTATCGCGTAGTTGCGACATCTGCTGGATTTCAAAAGTAATTGCAGGACATCTTGACAAAATCCTAACCAGATTATCTCACTTTTTTTCAATTTCCCCAGAGAGCTCCCCAGAGAAACTGTGTTGTCTAATGCAGAAAGGCCCCACAAAGATCCTGTGTTCCGGATATGTTGCTCTATGAAAGATATAGCTTGATTACTATGGTGGTATCTGTAGTTGCACTGCACATCTGTCTGCTTCCTTCCATACACAACTGCAGCCACAAGTTGATATCTAAGAAAACAATACATTTTTTCATATTATTAGCTAAAATATTAGTCAGATTATTTTTCAGATAAAATTAGAAGTCTGAGACTTTGGTATCTGGGGTGCAGCAGCCTGTGATTGTTATATAGCAGAGGTGTCAAACTCATTTTGGCTCACAGGCCGCATACAACTACTAATTAGACATCAAGTGGGTACAAAAAATATCCTGAACATTGTGTGATAATTAATTATTGCAGAAATGTTTTATGTGCTTTTTCATTGTGTTGTACATTGTTCAGCAGTGATCATTTCTTCTGCTTCTGCACTTGAGCCAGCTTGTCAGAAAAAATAATAATATTAGCCATGGTGTGTCTATCTCACACCAATTGGTACACACTTGGTACAGCATCTCTGACATCCTTATTAGCTAAATCCACCATCACATCAATATTGGCTTGGGCCATATCAGCAGTATGGTTATGGTTTTATGTTTGCTGATGCTAACAATATGGGTTTTTTTTTTTTCAATGTATTGGAACGTTTCAACCAGGTATGCAGCAATGCCTAGAAATGCCCACGTGGTGGCCTCTACACGGCCTTCTACTGTACTCACAGTCTAGGCCATTTGGCCTTTATATCCGGCCCACCAAACCTGTCCAATTTATGTTAATACTTTATATTACCATTATACTTCAAAAAAATTAGATTTGTGTCACTTTTGCCTTTAATGTGAACATAGCATATGACAGCTCCATAATTTATTAATTTAGAAGACGAAATTGTAACCTAAATTGGGATGTTTTTTAGATGAAAAAGATTATAAACACAAAAGGGAAAAAACACAACTAATTTAGTTTGCTAATGGTGATCATTTTCCAGACCTGAGAAAAGGTGATTGTTCACAATGTTTTCATAATAATAATAGTGGGTGATGACAAGCCAGAAATTTTGACACAAACAGCATCAACATCATTAATGCATTGTTTGAAAAATCACTGAGCAATAGCTAAGTTTACTCTTCTGCTTTCCAGGCTCTGAGTCCTGTGAAACACACGAAGATGTTTACGTGGCCTCAGTGGAAACTGACCGCGGAGTGAAAGAACAACTGAGGCTCTATGACACCAAAGGTCTCCATGATGGACAAGACCTGCCAAAGCACTACTACCTAGTGGCAGACGGCTTTGTCCTTGTCTACAGTGTCAACAGCCTGGACTCATTTAGAAGGGTGGATTTTTTGAAGAAGGAAATAGACAAATCCAGAGACAAAAAAGAGGTATGACTTATTAGAGCTTATAGAAGCATTCTTTGGTAATGGCTCTACTTGACCCTATTCAATAAATGGTCATAGAGAAGGCCTATTTGTATAAGTCAGTACTTCTCAAATAGCGGGGAGGGGCGTGGTGAGGTGCCAGGGGGTGCATGAGGGGCTTTAAATGGAATATGGCACGCTGGACATTGTACAATGTACCACTGCTGTAATGCTTGAATGATAACAAGCCTCAAGTCAGGTTCTCAATAGTATTTCAATTTGGGGTGTGGGTGGGGGGGCGTCCTCAAGGGGGCGCATGACAGAAAATTATTCAGAACCACTGGTATAAGTGCAGAGTTTTGGTGAAACAGCTGCATTATTGTCATACCAGATCAGTATTGCCACAGCAACAAAATCAGTTTTATATAAAAAGAATACTGTATATAATGAAGTTATGTGATAATGACAGCAAGTAATAGATAAAAAAATTGTAATTGTAAGCAAAAAAAAAGTACAGAAATAAAAAATGAATTGCAATTGCATACACATGTAGCACTGTAGGAAAGTATTGTAAGTATACAACTGTTAAAGGTATTGCCTTTGGAAAATAATGCACACACAAAACAATGGAAGATTAGCTGCACTTGCATAAAAATGTAACAAAGATGAAAAAGAAGAAGAAGTTTAACCTCTTATCCAAGAGGCTTCTTCAGTTCTGACTGACTGGTAGTCAGTCAGCGTCTTGGATTAAATGACCTGGATGACTGAGAACCTACATAGACAAATAAAGAGCATCATGTTTTGATGTCTCATAATACAATTTATAGTAATTGTTTTTGTAAATTATAAAGTGAGATGGTGGCTTATAAACAGTTCTTGTGTATGTGTGTACATTGTCTTCAGGTGGCAGTTGTAGTGTTGGGGAATAAAACAGATCTGTCAGGTCGTCAGGTTGAGCAAGAAGTGGCACAGCAGTGGGCTCGAGATGAAAAAGTCAAGCTGTGGGAGGTAAGCGTCACAGAACGCAACTCCCTCATCGAGCCTTTCACCCAGCTGACGAGTCGCCTCACACAGCCACAGAGCAAGTCTTCCTTTCCTCTCCCCGGTCGTAAAAGCAAAGGCACACCATCTAACGACTTGTGAAACCTAGAAGATCCTGTCATTCTTGTATGACATTTAAGAACACGTATTCGCACTATTAAAAAAAGAAACGAAAAAGAAAATGAAAGCTATGTGTTCCACTACAAATTCCTCATTTAGGTTTAACTCTATAATATACAATATTTACGGAATTGACAGGGAATCGAGATGTAATTGTGTGAGTTTTGGTGCTGGGTTGGAAGTCCCTTACACCAGGGGTGTCAAACATACGGTCCGCTGGCCACAAACTGGCCCGTGTTCAATCTGGCCTGCTTGATGAATTTTGAAAAAAAAAAATCCATTTCCTTTTCAGGATATGTTTTTTGTAAAAATATTGAAAACAAAGGGGAAAAACATGGACTTATTGTAATTTATAATTTATTATGTTATGATTGTACTGGTCGGGGCCACTTGACATCTAATTTGGTTATATGCCAGCCCGTGAATCAAAATGACTTTGACACCCTTAGACCTAGACCTTAAATTTGGACATTAAGCAGTTTGGTAACAAAATACTGTAATTGTATGCTTAAAATCACACAGTTGTTCAGAGCAGGTGTAAATTTTTTAACCTTATAAAACAGCAATTCCCTCTTTTTCTGTTGATGTGCAAGTTGCTGATTCTTAGACCGTACTGGGTTATGACTCACATTTTATAACAAATGAAAATAGATTGTTTTGTTTTATCTATGAGATGTGAATGCAGGAGGAAAATTGAATTGAAAACCATGTTTGTACAATTCCTCCATATGATAGTCTGTGACATATTTATCTATAAATATAACTATACAAGTCTAATGTGTAATATTTGGGATGATTAATTTTTCAGAACTAATTACATACCAAGTATTTTTGTGATTTTTTCACTGTAAGAACATATGGTTTCCCATGTATATTAAAGGCAAAGGTTGTGCTTCAACAATGTCTGAAAGTTTGTACTTACTGTACTATTTTTGCAGCTGCTTGAATTATTACATTTTTTTTGCCTACAAATAAAACATTAACACATTATTCCTGGTGTGGGACATGATTGGAAGAGGTAATGGTTCTTTGTTAAAATCATCAATCCTGTATGTAACCTACATGGCGGTATCCTTCATTAATTTTGACTGTTTTTTAGAAAAGTAGATGATTGGCCGATTTCAGTCTCAGAAGGAACATACAATTAGCAAGTGCAAGACCTCCAATAAAGGAGTGGTTCTGCAGGTGGTGACTACAGACCACTTTTCAGTTCTTATTGTTTCTGGCTGATATTTTGGTCACTTTTAAATGCTGGCGGTGCTTTCAGTCTCGTGGTAGCATGAGACGGAGTCTACAACCCACACAAGTGGCTCAGGTAGTGCAGCTAATCCAGTATAGCACATCCATGCGTGCTGTGGCAAGAAGGTTTGCTGTCTCTGTCAGCGTAGTGTCCAGATCATGGGGGCGCTACCAGGAGACAGGCCAGTACATCAGGAGACATGGAGGAGGCCGTAGAAGGGCAACAACCCAGCAGCAGGACCGCTACCTCCGCCTTTGTGCAAGGAGGAACAGGAGGAGCACTGCCAGAGCCCTGCAAAATGACCCTACAGCAGGGCACAAATGTGCATGTGTCTGCTCAAACGGTCAGAAGCAGACTCCACGAGGGTGGTATGAGGGCCCGACATCCACAGGTGGGGGTTGTGCTTACAGCCCAACACCGTGTAGGACATTTGACATTTGCCAGAGAACACCAAGATTGGCAAATTCGGCACTGGCGCCCTGTGCTCTTCACAGTGTAAAGCAGGTTCACACTGAGCATGTGACAGATGTGACAGAGTCTGGAGACGATGTGGAGAACCTTCTGCTCCCTGCAACATCCTCCAGACCGGTTTGACAGTGGGTCAGTAAATGGTGGCATTTCTTTGGGGGTTTGCACAGCCCTCCATGTGCTCGCCAGAGGTAGCCTGACTGCCATTAGGTACAGACATTATGCTGGCGCAGTCGGCCCTGGGTTCCTCCTAATGCAGAATAATGCTAGACCTCATGTGGCTGGAGTGTGTCAGCAGTTCCTGCAAGACGAAGACCTTGATGGTATTGATGGTATTGGATTTAGGTCTGGTTCCCTAGACCTGAATCCAATTGAACATATCCGCCCCGGGCCATAGTTTGCCCATGCATGCCATACATCATAGCATGTTGTTCTACCAACTCAATATACTTCCGGATTAACCATCTGTCCTTTCTCTCTAAATTTCTTCATTCATTACCTCCTCAAAATAGTCTCTCCATCTTCTTAGCAAACTATCCTCACTAACCTTTTCATCTTTTTCTCTTTACTGAATTGTTATTATTGTTGTAATATTACAAGAATTAAATTAAACGATCATGAGAGAAAAATCATAAAATGTTCAGAATAAATTCGTTATATTAGTACAAACGTGACAGTGATGCTGATGAGCCTGAAGAAGATGTACCTCTTAATGTGTGAATAATTCTAAAGTTTCTTTCTTCCCCAAACCACTTCATGTAAACATCTAGCCGCATACATTTGTGACTTCTAGTAAAGGTACTAATTTAGTTTCATAAACTTACGACAATATGCTTGTAAACTTGATTTTTTTCTCTTAAACTTACGATTCTATTCTCGTAATTTGAGATATTGTTATTCGCAACGTGGCCCTACTTATTCATCGTAATACATTTTATTACAAACGTATAACATTTATATTTTATTTCATTTGTTAAGTTTACATCGCGGAACCTTTCGCATTTGGTTGATGTTTCCCTACTCCGTTTACGTGTCGGACGCTATCGCTTTTACACGCGCCATAGAAGCCAAGCGTATTTAAAACGGAACGGGCCCCTTTGCTTTGCTTCGTTTCGTTTTTGTTTCGTTGGTTGCTTTTTGTTTTTATCTTAAAAATAAACACCACATTATTAGAATGGAAACTATTTTAGAGCAGCAACGTCGTTATCACGAAGAGAAGGAGAGGCTAATGGATGCTAAAACAAAAGAAATGTTACACAAGAAGTCTACGGTAAGCTAGCTTCCAAGCTAACAGACTAGCATTCTAAGATACATGCCTTAGTTTAATAATGGAATATTTTCTTATTACCCTGTTGTCTCTATTGCAGCTTCGGGAACAGATTAACTCAGATCACAGGACAAGGGCAATACTGGATGTAAGCGCAACCTTTTCTTCTAAATACGTGTTTTCTAAACACTTATATGCACTATTTTTTGACAACGTAAACATAGAAACATGTATTGTCTTAGAATAAATGATATATAGTAACTAATTATATACAATAACTTAATTAACTAAGTAATTCAGACGAGACTTGTTTTAGCTTGTGTTAGCTTGTCTTAGTCAGGGTTAAAAACATTGTTCACTGCAGCCTTCATATAGCGCTAGTTTTATCCACTACTGCTTGCTTTACTTTAAATTATTTTTTATGAATTTTGATTTTAAATCCCATTCTAATATATTTTTATTTCTATTTCTATAGATTTCTATATTTTGAATTGATTATATTTTCTTAAACTGTTTTAATGTCTATAATCCATTTTTAATAGATTCTGTTTCCCATTCCAATGTTTTTCATTGTTTCTCTAAAACAATGTGAATTGCCTAGTGTACAAATGGTGCTATACAAATAAACTTCATTTAAAGTGGACTTCTTTCTGAAGTTATATAACATAACATGTGATTAAGTTAGTATTGTGGCCATTGTAAAGAAAAGAAAGAAAGAAAGAAAGAGTGAAGTGAATTATTTGTCATTGTGACACAGCACTCCACTGCACACACAACGAAATGTGACCTCTGTTTTTAACCCATCACCAAAGTGAACAGTGGACAGCTTATAAGCAGGGCAGTGCTCAGAGCTCAGAGCACCTCAGTGGTAACTTGGCAGCTTGTGGACTCGAACCAGGAGCCTTCCGGACCCAAGTCCGCTTCCTTAACCACTAAGCGACCCCTGCCCCGCTTGTTTTATAATTGTTTTATATGAAGCAAAAACACCTGAAATGTTTCTTTTTTTTTTTTACAGAGGTATATGGAAGTGAGCAAAAATCTCAGAGACTCGTATGAGGATAAAGATGGGTAAGCTTTTCCTTGTCAGCTTTTCTGCTTTTTTTTATCAAATCAGCTAAAGTAATTATTTTGGTTCTTTGCTCATTTATTTTGTTCCCTGAAAAAGCATCTTAACTGAACAAATTTGTGCTTTCATTACTGACAGTATGAGAAAGGATGAGCTTGCTGCCATTTCAGGACCAAATGAGTTTGCAGAGTTTTACAATAGACTCAAGCAGATTAAGGAGTTCCATCGCAAACATCCAAATGAGGTGAGTAAACCTTTAAGTGCATCTCTAAATCTTTATGAAGCATATTATTAAAGCTGTGTGTTATCCTTTTTCTTTTTTTTAAGATTTCTGTTCCAATGTCGGCAGAATTTGAAGAGCTGATGAAGGCCAGGGACAATTCAAGTGAAGATGCTCAAAGTAAGACTGCACTATACTGTTTAAAGAAAGAAACAAACCACTGTGTTCTTGAGCTTTTGCTTGTAATGAAATATTATACACAATTAAAGCCTTGTGATATGTCCTTGGCTTTGTCCAGGGGCTAATAAGACGAGAACAAACTAAATTCGTAGGTGAAGACAGACAGGACTGACTTTAACAGCATGTAAAAGCAATTGGTATACTAGCGATTAAAGGTTTGCAACAAGAACAAACAAAGCACTGATTTAAAACCAAGGAACAAAGTAGGGACCAGGTACAACAATTTATTTCAATTATTGATTATTGTGAAATCTCTGTTATGTTTCACAGACCTGGTGGAGTTCACAGATGAAGAAGGCTACGGCCGCTACCTTGATCTCCATGACTGCTACCTGAAGTACATCAATTTGAAGGGAGCAGAGGTAAAAGATCACTCTTTCTCTGCTTTATTACAATGAAAACCTCCAGGAAACAACTATAACTTTTTGTTAAGCTAACACCTGTATTGTTTCTTGGTGTAGAAACCGGAATACATCACATATCTGTCATCATTTGACCAGCTCTTTGACATCTCCAAAGACAGGAAGAATGCTGAATACAAGAAGTACGTTTATCTGTCTGTCTGTGTGTCTGTATATTTATATACTGTGTCTATATATGTATGTGTGTTTACATATATATGTGAGTACAGTGGTCCCTCTGCTATTGCGGTAGTTGCTTTTCAAGACCCACTGCAAAATGGGAAAAATCGCAAAGTAGAGGCAAGAGAGTTGTATTATCTACGTATTAAATTATCATATTTACCCTTTACGAATCTCCCCCACACTGTTATCAACAGTCCAGCAACAACAGTGCTGTCCTCGTTTTGTTTATTTATATACTGTTTGTTTTTCCCCTGTTTTAGGCGAGAAAATTATTTTTCACAAAAGTAACGAAAATGTTTTAATTGACCCTAAAGTATTGCGATATAGTGAAAAAATCGTGAAATCGGATTAAAAGAAATCTGTGATGTACTGAGGGAGGGAAAGGAGAACTGCCATATAGAGAGGGAACATTGTGTGTGTGTGTGTGTGTCCCCGTGTGTGTGTGTGTGTATATACTGTAGTTTGTTTAGTGTATAAATGGTTCATGTCTGTACAGGTATTTGGAGATGCTGTTGGAATACCTGCAAGACTACACGGATAGGGTCAAACCACTGTTGGACCAGAATGAGTTATACAACAAAGTCCTAATAGATTTTGAGAAGAAATGGGACAGTGGGGCTTTTCCTGGTTGGCCTGTACGTTCTGCTGACAGTTATAGGTAATTTAAACAGTTAAAATGATCCCACTCATTTTTGTCTCATTTTTTTTCCTCCTTGCCTGCACCTCAGAAAGAGACAAGTAGTGCGTTAACACATGCTGGAGCTCATCTGGACCTTTCTGCATTTTCTTCGTGGGAGGTAAGTTGTGAGAGCTTTTTGAGGTTCAATAATAAAACCGCACATATTAATAGTGCTGCTGATAAGGTTTTTTTTTTTTTCACACAGGAGTTGGCCTCCTTAGGTCTAGACAGATTAAAATCTGCTCTTATGGCACTGGGATTGAAGTGTGGTGGGTAAGTGTGCATCAGAGACTATCAAAAATATTTAAACACTCCCTTGGCCTAAAATATTATTATTTTTATGATCTTTGAGTTGTAATTTTTCCTTGACAAAGTAGGAGGTCTGTCCCGTCATTAAGCTACGTATATGCGTAGAAGTCTGTGGTTGTGCTGATGAGTTGATTTGTTGATTTAATAATCAATTAATAACTAGTGGTACCTATTGATGGTAAATATAAAGGAGTACTTTTGTATTTTTGAGATCCCCTTTCTTTTTAATGAATACAATGGTCAAAACAGTTGTCTTCACAATTGCCTTACATGTTTTTTATGTATCTTTTTAACAGTTTTAACTGAAACTTAATTGGGGAAAAAAATGTACTGGATGTCAAGTCAATGTTATTTGTATAGCACAGATTCACAAATCACATCTGTCTCATAAAAAGTTGTAGAATTACATAACATTAAAAATAACCTTGATTTTTGACAATTATAAAACACTGCAATTCCTACATATAGATATAAAGATATTTATAATGAATATATGCCCAATAGTAACATTAACTGTGCTGTTTGTCATTCCTACATCTTAGTGTGCACTTTAGAAAACTGACTAATTAATACGTCACTTGATTTTCAGTATACAGTGTTCCCTCCCTATATCGCGATTCTCCATCCGTTCACTCAGTACATCGTAGATTTTTTTGTATTCCAATCTCGCAAGAGTTTTGCGAGTGGTATTTTACAGTAATTTTTTTTTTATTTCCAATATTTTCATTATTTCGAGAAACATTTTCTAACCTAAAAAAATCATACAGTAAAAATATAGCAAAAAATAAACATCAGTAGTAACTTTGTTTACCTAGAGTAGACCAAACACAGCATTGAGCATTCTCTTCTGTTCCTCACACTGACTGGCTCATGCATCGTAGCATCGCTGTAGCGCTGTTATATAGTATGTGTTAGGGATGCACCGATCCACATTTTTTCATTTCCGATCTGATCCCGAGATCTTGTTGAGCCACGTTCTGTTCAGGAAAGTGATTCCACAGTTTACAGTCATCTAACAGACCCACCAGCGGGAATCAGACAAGGCTGGAGCTCGGTTCGTGGATCCGCATTCTTTGCAGGTTACTGGATCGGATTGGCCCCTTCCCTAGTGTGTGTAGTACTGTAAAGTTTGTGCTTTTGTGTTTGATGAAAGTTTACCCTAATTTAATGCCCTACCACGCCTCCTTAACGCTCTGAATCTTCTCAGGCTTCAGTTACAAAGTCTTACCTATTTTTTTCTTTACAATAATGTGCGCTATGCCAGGCTTTTATATACAATCAGTCCGTCTTGGCAGTATGCACTTGGTCCTGGGACTACTATTATGAGAGGCTTAATTACTCGAATTGCGCTCACCTGCGTTTCCACTCCCATGCTGTCCCTCCTACGGTGCTAACATTTGCCACGCCCCAAAATGTGCATATACATTGAATTTTATAATTATTTTTATGTTTTTATTATTATTTATAATTAGAATGTATTTTACGTAGTTTTCCATGATTGTGTATTTAATTTATTTACATTATTTGTATGTCTTAGATTTTCATTCTACAACTCTACTGTGCATATAATTGTGTAGGAAAGGGTAATGCAGTGCAGTGCAGTGCAATGCAGTAGTGTTGATAATGTGGGGAAGGTTCATAAAGGGTAGGTATATACGTAAATAATATAATAACTATCTCGCCTCTACTTTGTGGAGTTTCCCTTTTCGCAGTGGGTCTTAGAACGGTCAAGTACCGCGATAGGAGACGGACCACTGTATGTCCTATTGGGTCTAAAATGTTGCATTTAGAAATAAAAACTGAATGAAAATTTTAAGTGTGGCTTGTATGAAAAACTTAAATAAAAATTGGATGTGTAGCAAACATTAATTGACATTTGGGTGTCTTGCAGAACTCTAGAGGAGAGAGCACAGAGACTGTTCAGCACCAAAGGCAAGTCCCTGGAGTCACTGGACCCTTCAGTGTTTGCCAAGAACCCCAAAGTCAAAGGACCAAAAAAGTAAGTGGGCCTAAAGTCTGGCCCAAAAGACAACTCTACAAAATCACACAACAATTTAATTCCATCACTCCTGCAGAGACACAGAGCGCAACAAAGAGATTGCATTCTTCGAGGCTCAAGTATACGAGTACGTGGAGATCCTTGGGGTGAGTGGGATTTGGTTTCAGTTGATACTCACATCAACTCTAAACTGGAAACCGGAAACGGTAAGGTTAGGGGCATTCCAGGCTCAGCCAACTGATGTGTCTTTTGGGTTTTTGGGTTGCAGGAACAGAGGCAGTTGACGCATGAGAATGTGCAAAGGAAGCAGGCCAGGACTGGTGAGGAGCGTGAGGAAGAGGATGAAGAGCAACTCAGCGAAAGTGAAAGTGAAGATGAAGACAATGAAATAATCTACAACCCCAAGAACCTCCCGTTGGGTTGGGATGGTAAGGTGAGTGTCTCCAGCAGTATAGGCCTGTAAAAGCTAAAACATGCCACCTCCCAATGTATGTATATACAGTGTACAGGTAAATAGATTTATATATATTTTTTAATATTTTTTCAATATTTTCATTATTTTTTAAAAAAAAACAATTTTTGCTAGCCTAAAAAGAGAAAAACAGTAAGTAAATAAACAAGAAGACATTTTGCAATACATAGTACATACATAGGGTAATGCAAAACAAAAAACAAACATGTACGTATCGGTAAATGAGATTTGGGTTGGGTAATCCAAGATACCCACATGTCAAAAAATAAACAAAAAGACATAATTAAAATAATTATACATACGAAAGTTTTGGCTTTAAAAAGTAAATGATACTCATTTTGAAATCATTTGCGAACGAGCGCTAGTAGCTTTGTTAACCTAGACCAAGGGTCGGCAACCCGCAGCTCCAGAGCTTCATGTGGCTCTTTCACCCTTCTGTTGTGGCTCCCTGTAACTTTGGTAAATAAATTAGTATTTAATTAAAATTTATTTTGTTCTTTTTTTAAATGTAATTCTAAATTTGAAGATTATGGTAATCTTGTAACATGTTTTTTTTTGTTGCTCAAAATATGCGTTACATCTGCCGATGTGCAACACCCGGCACATATCTGGCAGTGCGGATTTATCCCGCACTTATACCATCAGCGTGATTTATTGAGCTTATTGACCCCTGGTAGGTAAATGATGGATAAATCATAGGAACAGAAAAGTTTCTGAAGAAAACAGAATGTTTAATGCTACGTGGGCAGATTCATTTGCTTTCACTGCTGAAGAGACTGGTTTGTTCTTGCTCAGAATCGCAAATGGAGTAATACTGAAAATCTTCCCAAACTGACATTTACATGAACATGAAAAGATATGCATTTGGCAATCTTCGGATCTACAAACATACTGTATGTGAGCAGGTCTTGTCCCACAAACTATATTAAAAACAAACATCGCTCACGCCTCACCGACGTCAGCTTACAGTGAAGATGAAGGTGACGTCTTACAGCCCTGATGCGCAGACGCTGTGCACTGAGGTTCAGGAGCAAAAATTAACCAAGAAAAAAACATTATTGGCTATTATTTTCCATTTATATATACTGTATATATGTATTTATGTGTATATATATACTGTATATATGTATATGTGTGTCTATATATATACATATATATACAAATTTAAAGTTTATGTTAGGTTTGATTTTAATCTGTTGGGGTAGTCAGAATTTCCTGTTTCTTGCTGTACACATTTTCAGATGTTTGGCTCTAAAGCTGTTTCTTTTTGTGCTAATTACAGTGCAAAATGTTTCTTCTAAGCAGTATAACTTTTATTTCTTTGTTTATTTTTTCTTTTTCCTTTAGCCAATCCCATACTGGCTGTATAAATTACATGGGCTGAATATAAACTACAATTGTGAAATTTGTGGAAACTACACGTACAGAGGACCCAAGGCCTTCCAGAGACACTTTGCTGTATGTGGTGATACATAAATTCAGGAAACAGGACAAAAGCACTGTCTCAAATTTTGTAATTTTAGACTCTTTGTTTGTTCCTTCCTTGCAGGAATGGCGACACGCCCACGGTATGCGTTGTCTTGGAATTCCCAACACAGCGCACTTTGCTAATGTCACTCAGATCGAAGATGCTGTTTCTTGTAAGTCAAGGCCTTGATGGTAAAATTCATGAAAGTTTGAATTTTGTTATAATTATTTTAAATTTGTTCGACTTTTGTTTTTTTTTTTGTTTGTTTGTTTTTTTAACTCCAGTGTGGGCAAAGCTAAAATCCCAGAAGGCTTTAGAGAGGTGGCAGCCAGACACAGAGGTGAGTCTACAGTGATAAACAAGCAATATGATTGCTCACGGTCAAATGAATGACAACTGGATTGTCTAATGGCATACGTAGTTGCCCTTTTCCGTTATCCCTCTGGGATAATGCCCAGAAAAGTTTTTTTGTGTGGTGTCTGTCTGCAGATGTTGTATTCTTTTACTGCTGCAAGGTATTTTGTGAAAATCAAACACACACTGGTTTTGTGTTTTGGGGTTGGCTGCAAAATTAATAAGTACAGTATTTTCCAGTATAATTTGCTCTGGAGTATAAGTCGCATCTGTGCCCTCTAGCGGCTGTCAGTGTAAAAATGACGAACATGTAAATGTAAAACGAACATGTAAATGTAAACAAACATGTAAATGTAAATGTGTAAAAATAAATGTGAAATTATATATTTTAATATACAAGTTGCACCTGAGTTTAAGTCACAAACCCAGCCAAAGGATAAAAAAAAGTGTGACTTATAGTCTGGAAAATATGGTAGTATTTCCCCTGTCCATACAGATTCATACCAACCGATTTCAATGTTTCTTTTCAAAAAAACATAGTAAAGAGCTTCTAAGCCTACTGTAACTAATTGTACTTTGCACTTACAGGAAGAGTACGAGGACTCCAGTGGAAATGTGGTCAACAAAAAAACCTATGAGGATCTAAAGAGACAAGGTCTGCTGTAGAGATTCGCAGAGGGATGCGATTGCTTTTTAAAGATCCTCTGTCCTACTAGTAGCTATTCATTTTTCAGCAAACTTCTTTCGCTGTTCTACCCATTAACTTTTGCTGTTAATCATAGTAGTTGTTGATACTTGCTTTCTGTAAATTGTGAATTCACAAGAACAGTTTGAGACAATTTAAAAAGAGAAAGTTTGGTTTGTCTAAGCCTCAACTGTTATTATTTTGCAAAGTTAAAGTGTCATTACGGATCACGTCTTCTTTCAGGACCAAAGGTACTGTATAAAGTCATTTTTGACATTGGCTAAAACACTGCCTACAGTTGTTAAAATTCTGAAACATTCACAGAGTTTGGTTTGTTTGAGAGTTGTGTAATCAATTTTAATCTGTTCGATTTTTCTGGCAAAAGGCCATGTACTTGCAAGTGTAATTCCACTGTCCTACTCTTGGATAGTTACTGCATTTATTGCTCAAATAAAGTAATGTAGTAGAATTTATGTGTGCCTATTACTTGCATATACATTGATAACAAGTTTGGGTATTTTTTACTTCATTGTTCAATATTTAAGTATACTATAGTCATTTCATCCAAGTACTATATTTTCCGGACTCTTTCCGGAGTGTAAGTCGCACCAGGCAGAGTGCCCTGTAGTGGCTGTCAGTGTGAAAATAACAAACGTGGAATTATATATTTTAATATTAAAGTTGCACCTGAGTACAAGTTGCAAACCCAGCCAGATAATACAGTAGTATTTGTAGTAGTATTGGAGCTAGGTTACCTTTCTCCTTGGCAATCTAGAGGGTTGTGTACTTAATTCTCTTTGTCTCCTCTCATAATGCATGAGCTAAGGGCTTGATTAAGATTGCAAAAAGTGTCAAGTGTCATTTTCTTGTGTTTGGCGTCCCTTGATAAAGCCTGATTGGTCTTCATTTATTAAGTCTGACATAAAGGTCTCCAGTTTTGCTAGAATAGTAGTTATCTTATAGCTGCAGTTTAAGATTGATATTGGTCTATACTTTTCAGAAATGTATTTTATTTTCCTTCTTTGGGTATTATTGCTTCTTTCCATGATGGGAGAGGTCTTGCCTCGTTTCAGGGATTCATTGAATGAGTTTAGTAATATCGGTGTTAAGGCTTCCCCACAGGGAGCTTAGATTGTTTGGATCCAATCGCAGGCACACAGAAGGAAGAAGGTAAGTTTGGTTTATTTGCAAAAGTCCACAAATGATACAAGCAGTGAATTGAGAGCTGCTGACACGCAGTGATCACTGAAATCAAAATGGTGAATCCAGTGCAGCGTGCTCCCCGTGAATGAACCAATCGTGACAATCCAAAATCCTGAAACCAAAGGAAACAAGTTACTAGAAATGTTCATATAACACCAAGAACTAGGACTAGGCCACGAGTTATCGAAAAAAGGAGTACTCCTGGTGTCCGTTCCTTAAATCCTCCAACACACTGATGAATGGCCTGCAGAAGTCCAACTTTTAAAAATGTTTATGCTCTTGATTTGAAAGATGAGTTTCTTGTAGATAATACACTTGATTTTTCCATTTTTAGCTCTGCAATGACTTTCCCCCCTTTACACTGGATTGGTTAACCAATTTATATTCAGAAACACCACCTTGAGTTGGTTATGTTGCCATCTTCATCTTTTCTCCCGTTGACACTTAATACACACACACACACACACACACAAAACTATCAAGTATAACACAAAAATAGTCCTTTCGATAATTGTGAGCTACTCTCCTTAAGCCCATGTCCTTGTTGGAAGGGGAGGGGAAAATCTTCCAGAAAAAGTAGGGCCCAATAGAGGTAGGTGGAAATATAACCAGCTGATTCCCTTGACTCCCACTACAGTCCAACATAATTCTATATCCCTTCTCTACCAGACTATTTATATAATTAAATGAAAGTAGCCTTTGCAATTGTGGTAACTTGGGCAATAAGAACCACTGACACAAGATGTCGAGTTTGCACTTTTATCCAATTCCAAAATTCCAACATACAATATTTTTCCTGGGAGCTAACTGACACCGGCACCTGCAGCTATCTTCTTCTCTGCCTGGAAGTAGCGAACACACTTCCTGTTTCTTCAGGTCCGGAGGCGACACCTTGTGGTACTTATAAAACAGTGGCAACATATACTGAATACAACACTCCTCCCCCACTAAGTTCAGAAATTCCTAAGTTTCCTTGATAAACATTCAATTTCTCTTTTACAGCTTTTCTCAGTGTATTTCTGGGGATACATATGTTCCATAACTACTGAACAACACCACCTGCAATTTAAACACATTTGTTCACATAAGATGGTTCTTTATGATTAGGACAGATTCCTCCACTTCCAACACAGCTTCTGGACATCTCAGGACCTGCACTCAGTAAACACACACAATTTTAGTATACACATAACAACCCGCAGTTTCACGAAAAACAGTGACACTAAAAACTCAAAAGTTCAGTCTCTCAGGAGGCTTGCGAGCACGCTGTGATCTGCGCACTGGCTCCTGTGAAACAGCCGTCACCCCAGGAGTTGTAGCTTTGGGAGCCCCCTGTGCTGCGGTCACAGGCGTCGTTGGTGTCTGTGTGTCGGTGTGTGATTGTCGATCTTCTGCCGGTTGTACAGACACCTTCGGTGGCGATTTCTCTGCCAGAGATGCTCCTCCAGTGGTCACCAGTGGCAACTCTTCAGTGCTGGTCACCAGTGGCAACTCTGCCGTGCTGACCGTCTCTGGGCTCTCATCATGACGCAAACGTACGTGGTCCTGATGCCTGCGGAACTCTCGTCCATCTGACAGCTTGATGACATAAGAGACGGGGCCATTTTGTGTCATTATAACCCCGGGAAGCCATTGCTGCTTGGAGTTACTGCAGAAATTCCTCACGTAGACCTTGTCACCTGGTTTCAGCAGCCTCTCTCTCGCATGAAGATCGTGGCTCTCCTTCTGCTTTTCTTGCTTTCTCGCTACTTTTACTTTTAAGTCAGGGCGGAGCAGATCTAGCCTTGACTTAGGCCTACGACCCATCAACATCTCTGCTGGAGTACGTGCAGTAGTGGTCTGAGGTGTGAGACGGTACTTGAATAGAAAACGTGACAGTCTTGTACTCAGAGAATCTCCTGTCATGCGCTTCAAACCTTCCTTCACTGTTTGGACAGCACGTTCTGCCAGCCCATTCGATGCGGGATGGAATGGCGCTGTACGAATGTGACGGATTCCATTCTGTCCCATGAAGTCACTAAACAGCTCGCTTGTGAAGGTTGGACCATTGTCCGTGACAAGGGTGTCAGGTAGACCATGAACTGCAAACACTTGTCTGAGTTTCTCAATGGTTGAAGGAGCTGTTATGTTGCCCATGATGTGACCTTCTATCCACTTAGAGTGGGCATCCACCATTACAAGAAACATCTGCCCCATGAAGGGCCCAGCAAAGTCCAGATGTAATCTAGACCAGGGACGGTCTGGCCACTCCCATGGATGCAATGGAGCTGGTGGCGACATTTTCTGATTGGCTTGGCATTGTATGCATGATTTTACCTTGTTTTCCAGGTCTAAATCCATTCTTGGCCACCAGACATAGGATCTTGCCAGACTTTTCATCCTAGACACCCCTGGATGTGCCTCGTGCACTTCCTCCATGATCTGTGAGCGGCCTGGGGGAGGTACGACCACCCTTGTCCCCCAGAAAATGCAACCATCTTGTAAGCTCAGTTCATTTTTCCTTTTTACATAAGGCCTCAACTCCTCACTTTCTACCACTACGGGCCAGCCTTGTAGCAGGTAAGTTTTTACCTTGGCCATTACAGGGTCTCGCTCGGTCCACTGCTTGATCTGCACTGCAGTCACTGGTGTTTCCGACAACTTCTCTAATAAAAAAATAGTCTCTGGAGGCACGCAAGTCGTGACTGGTGTCTCGGGCAATGGCAGGCGACTGAGAGCGTCCGCATTCGCATTGTCCTTTCCTGCCCTGTACACTATGGTGTATTGGTAGGCTGACAACTTTAGTGCCCAACGTTGGATTCGGGCGGAGGCGAGGGGTGGGATGCAACGCGTCTCACCAAACAGACTCATCAGTGGCTTATGGTCTGTATGGATTGTGAAAGGACGGCCATAGAGGTACTGATGAAAGCGCTTAACTGCAAATACGACTGCCAGACCTTCCTTTTCTAACTGCGAGTACCCCTTTTCTGCCGCTGTCAACGTGCGTGAAGCATAGCCAATAGGCTTCTCGGAGCCATCTCCCATAACGTGGGACAGCACTGCCCCTACCCCGTACGGCGAGGCATCACATGAGAGGGTCACCTCTTTGTCTGGATCAAAATGCACCAGCAGTTTTGCCGAATGGAGCAGTTCTTTCACCTTATTGAAAGCTTTCTCTTGTTCATCACACCACTGCCACTTTGTGTCATTGTGCAGTAGTTTGTACAGCGGAGCCAAGACCTTTGAGAGGTCCTGCAGGAATTTGCCGTAGTAATTCACCATCCCCAGAAATGATCTGAGTTCAGTGACATTCTTGGGACTCGGTGCTTCTTTAACAGCTCTCACTTTGTCTTCCACTGGGCAGATGCCCTCAGCTGTTATCCTATGTCCCAGGTAAGTAACACTCGGGACCATGAACACACATTTCTCCCTTTTCAATCTCAGCCCGGCCTCTGAGAGCCTCTGAAGCACCTGCTCCAGATTCCGGAGATGCTCAGCTTCTGTAACACCTGTTATGAGCAGATCGTCCAGGTAGCATGTTACGTGTGGGATGCCTTGCAACAGACTGTCCATTGTCCTTTGAAAAATGGCAGGGCTGGACGCCACTCCAAACACTAGGCGGTTGTACTTAAACAATCCTTTGTGTGTGTTAATGGTGACAAACTCTTTGGACTCCTCATCTAACAACAGCTGCTGATAAGCGTGGCTCATGTCCAATTTTGTAAATGACTTTCCCCCTGCTAGTGTTGCAAACAGGTCATCCACCCGTGGCAACGGATACTCCTCCAGCTTTGAGACCTGGTTCACGGTGAGTTTATAGTCCCCACATATGCGCACTGTCTTGTCTGGTTTCATAACAGGGACAATGGGAGCTGCCCACCTGGAGAACTGGACTGGCTCAATGACGCCCAGCGCCTGTAAGCGCTCCAGCTCCTCCTCCACTTTCTGTTTCATGGCATAGGGTACCACTCTGGGCTTATAGAAACGTGGCGTGGCATTGGGGTCAATGTGCAGTTTAACTGTCATCCCCTTGCACGTGCCTAGCTCATCTCTGAACACCTCACTGTACTGCTGTAAAATGTCCTCTGTTGTGCGCATGTACTTCACCTCATGCCAGTTTATCTTAATTTTTCTGAGCCAGTCCCGGCCCAAAAGACTGGGGCCACTACCCTGGGCTACCACTAGTCTCCCCTCAGCCCTCTGATCACTCACTGCAATGCTCACCTTCAGCACTCCTAGGTGAGGTATGGGCTGGCCAGTGTACGTCCGTAGCTTGAGCTTTGAGGGAATCAGTGGCGGTGGCTTGGTCCTCCATGTTCTCCTGTAGGTCTCCTCGCTGATGACCGACACTGTTGCTCCTGAATCAATCTCAAACTTGATCTCTTTTCCTTGAACAGTGACTGTGGCATAATATGGCATAGGCGGTACCTCCTCAGTTTCCACTGCAAACATGTCAATAGAACACAAAGCCTCTTCATTTTCCTCCTCTACGTAATGAGTGGCAGCCTGATTTTGCTTTGCCTTCACCTTTTCAGGGTTATTTTTATTTTTAGCACCTCTGCACTTCTTTTCTAAATGTCCTTTTTTCTTACAGCCATGGCAGACTGCATCCTTGAATTTGCATTCGTTTGCATAGTGAGCTCCACCACACCGAAAACATTCAACTGGCCTGCCATATTTTGGACCGTCTTTCTTTACATATTGCACTGCTACCGGTGCTCCAGTCTGCCCTTTTTGTATGTCTCTGGCATTGCTAGCAGCCATTTCCATGCCCTGGGAAATCTCTAGTGCCTTTTTAAAAGTTAATATTGGTGATGTCTCACTCAGCAAGCGACGCTGAATTGCATCATCATTAATGCCGCATACAAGTCGATCACGCAGCATGTCGTCTAACACTGCTCCAAATTCACAGTGCGCTGATAGCTGTCGAAGCTCTGCTACGAAGTTAGCTACTGATTTACCTGCCTTTCTGAAGTGACTGTGGAACTTGAAACGCTGGACAATTACCGATGGTTTCGGGTTGTGGTGGTCTCTTACGAGTTTTACCAAGTTTGCATATGGAATTTCACCTGGCTTCTGTGGCGTAGCTAAGTTTCTTATCAGCTTATAAGTCTTTGCTCCACACACGCTCAGGAGAATGGAGCGCTTCCTAGCCTCCTCAGTTATTCCGTTAGCATCGAAAAAGTGTCCCAACCTTTCCTCGTACTCAGTCCAATCCTCGTCTCCCTCCACATATTCACCGACTGCCCCAAACGTCGCCATGCTCCCCACAGATCGTTGTGTCGTTCCACTCCACCGCTGTCTCCAGTTCACCTCGTCGCCAAAAATATGTGGTAACTTGGGCAATAAGAACCACTGACACAAGATGTCGAGTTTGCACTTTTATCCAATTCCACAATTTCAACATACAATATTTTTCCTGGGAGCTAACTGACATCGGCACCTGTAGCTATCTTCTTCTCTGCCCGGAAGTAGCGAACACACTTCCTGTTTCTTCAGGTCCGGAGGCGACACCTTGTGGTACTTATAAAACAGTGGCAACATATACTGAATACAACAGCCGTGATCAGTGTTTATGAGTTATATCACAGTTATTACCTTAACGGTGTTATATTAATACATTTGATTATTGTTAACTGTATTTTGTCTGCATTGTCGTTTATTCACTGAAGCCTCCCAATTTGCCAAGAACTCTCAAAATCCTTCAGATATTTAATTGTTATTGGATACTATTGATTTTAGTATATTTGTAATACTTCAAGTAATACATTATTGCTATATTAGTAGGTTAAAATAATAATTAAAGATAACTTTAATGAGACTGGTTGTGTTATTAATTTGAGACTGGTTGATAACACCGAGTGCTCCTAAGCAGCACTCGACCCATTGCACCTACAATGTGGATTGGGCACGTTTGGTGCTCTTACCTCTACTGCATTGTTTACTGCTCTCAAATCCTGTACCATTCTCCAGTCTAGACTAGGTGCTGCTTTTCTTACTGGAAAAATTAGTGTATTACATTCAGATTCGGGACATACTTTTATTATCCCTTTTGCTTTTAGGTCTTTGATTATTGGCTCTATCCCTTTTTCAACATCAGGCTTCAAAGGGTATTGTCTCACTTTCGGCCTAAACTCTGTTTTGCCCTTGATTATCACAGGTTTTGCATTTTTCATTAGTCCTACATCGGTTGGACTATTAGCCCATAAGTCGTCAGGAAGACATTTTAGCTCACTCTGCTCTTCAGCTGTGAGCGTAAATATTTCTCATGTCTGTTCTGTTAAATGTACAGTTGGAGTTGTTGTCGTTACCCAGCTTAATCTGGTTCGGAACAAACCAGAAGTAGAACTAAATTCCACTTTTGGATCGATTGTAGGTTTCCACATTTTTATATCCTGTGATTGCCATGCAATCCTATTTAAATCTTTCCACTCTTCATTTTTTGATTTTGTAAGTGACACATGTGAGCATTCATTTGGTGACAGCACCGCTTTTGCTTCTTCTGACAATGATACTGAACAAAATGAAGTTTGACCTTTCCAATAAAGGTGTTCTAATTTAATCATCTGAGGTCCAAGTTTATGGACTGCTTTATCATAGTCTGGATCTGGTCCAGGACTGGTTTTAAATCTTAGAGTGGTATGTAAATTTTCTGGATTCATTCTGTCACCTCCCTGTTCCACTACTTCTTGGGCTTTTGTCATCAAGGTCTTAGGGACTTCTCCGGGCGGGCCATTAGGAATGTCTAATGACCAATAGTAGTGAGGTTCGTGTTTTCCCTCCACTACAAAGGTTTCTACTGGGCTTAATGGTGTTCTCTTTACTACCATTACCCCTGCTGCAGTTGGCACAACTGCCATTTCAAAATATGTTAAAAGGTCTCTCCCTAGTAAATTATGAGGGCATTCTGGAGATAAGACTACGGAAACGTGCACACAGTCATCTTTCTCCTCATTCATTAGTGAGAATTTGACAATTTCACTTAGATGAGTCGTGATAATTCTTCCATTTGCTGATTTTACTTTTATGGTTTGATTTGATCGGGGTAATCCCTTCGTGTCTCTTATTATCGTTCGCTCTGCCCCAGTGTCACATAAAAATAACATTGGTTTGCCATTTACCATAAGGGTCATTTCTGGGTGTCACGATGCATCAACATTTTCTAATGCGAAGAGTAGATCAATTTGTTCTAAACTTTCATTATTTTGTCTTGACATTAAATCATGGGTATCGGTACCCTTTTCATGTAGTCATGCTCTGTCTCTTTTGTCGTCACTTATATCATGATATCCACTTTGTGGTCTCCTGTTTCTGCAGTCACGCGCTAGGTGACCTGGCTTGTGACAGATATAGCATCGATTAAACTTTCTGTCTTCTTATTTTTGTCGATCATCTCTCCTAGGACCTGATCTTTGTCTATTTCTGTCCCTTAATCTTGCACCAGTGCTCAGAAACACACAACTCCGTCATCTGTAACTACAAAAACTCCAGCAGTTCCAGCAGCCTCTCTCTCTTTCTGGCGCTTTTTGTTCATTACCACTTTTTCATAATGTTGAGCATGTAAAATGGTGTCTGCCAGAGTGGCTGTAGGTAGGTATGTTTAGTTAGCAGCTCTCTGATTCCTGGAAGCAGAACCATTGCCAGAGCATTTTTAAGCTGCTGCTGGTAAGGTCCTGCTTGATCTCCATCATTTTCGCATACCACTGTGTTGTTTAAACACTGTCTCCAAACGTATGGAGTAATCATCTACCAATTCTCCCTCTTTTTGTTTGCATGCTGCAATTTTAGTAAAATCTGCTCGTGCTGTAAAAAGAGCACACATTCTTTCAAATAAGGGCACTAAAGTTAGTGTCACTCGATTGAACGGGACAGTTTGTCTCTCTCCCTGAACCTGTTCAGTAGGGCTCCAGTCACCTCTAATTCTAGCCCACTGAGTTTGTAAAACATGCATTAACACTTGCTGGACTTCTGCTCCGTCTAGACGATAGGAAGCAATCAGCCCTTGCAATCCTGTAATACACCCTTCAACATCTTCTTTTGGCTGC